GAGTATGACTACTATATAAAGTAACAACTGGTGTTTGAGTATGACTACTATATAAAGTAACAACTGGTGTTTGAGTATGACTACTATATAAAGTAACAACTGGTGTTTGAGTATGACTACTATATAAAGTAACAACTGGTGTTTGAGTATGACTACTATATAAAGTAACAACTGGTGTTTGAGTATGACTACTATATAAAGTAACAACTGGTGTTTGAGTATGACTACTATATAAAATAACAACTGGTGTTTTGAGAATGATTATATAGTAACTTTGTATGAGTATGATTGCCATGCTTTGATGTGTTGTTTGTTGGTGAAAGTGGGATTTTCAAAGTATACCCTTACAAATTAATATTGATTTTTCTTTCACAGTTAGGCAAAGGGGAGCTTTCTAGAATGAAGCAGAATGGGTTGACGTACATCCCACGACTCCATTGTTTTACATGAGAATGTGGTGACATTGTAACAGAAGTTCAGCTTTTACATCAAAAGTTGATTTCAGTACTAGATTCAGTATGATAATTAGCTTGTTATGGCTTTACCTAAAATTGCATTATATAACTCAGCTTTTTACATGGGCTGGCTTAAAGATATTATCAGTTAACTTTTATGTAAGTGTAAGTCTATGACAGTTGACTTACATTGTATTGCTAAACTGTTACACAGTATATAACTAATAATACATGGTATATGGCTCAACTTCTGCTGTAGAGTTGTATCATGTAACTGAAATTAGCTAACCTTTACATGTTTGTTGACTAAGTACTGTATGGCTCAACCTTTACTGGAGATTATGTTTCAACTGGAATTGGGCTATTTTCTAGGGCTGTTTACTCATATCTCATCAAAAGTATTTTTCTGTGTCCAAACTATTATCAATCATTTGTTTGTCAAAATATGTTTTGTGTAATTGTGATTTTTGGTAAATTTTGCACAAACATTTGGAAGGGAAAACATACTGTTGACCTGAAATTGGACCGAAACTACAGCCAGTAGATAAATTTTGTATGACGGTTTCTTATTTGGTACACCAGGGAGAGCTGCTACTCGTTCCAGCTTTGTGATATTGATGGCCAGAACAGTTTTTATTGGGAGACCGACCTAAAGTGGTGCTGTTTTGGTGTTTTCCCTATTTTAGGATTTGTTCCTCTAATGTTGGAGAGAGAAAGAATAATGAACTTGGATAACCATGATTTGAATGGTACAGATTTTATAAAAATCATAAATTTCCAGCATGTTTGAAGATCATGAAAAGGTCGTGGCAATGTTCATTCAGATCACTGAAGCTAGGAAATGAAGATTATTTCTTTCCGTGACCCTCTGTGGTGAAAACATTTTCACTCAATTATCATCTTCTTTTTGTCTCTCATATACAAGATACACATTTCAAAAAGAATTAAAAAAAATAGAACAGACCCATTGGCTAATATGGCCACATCTTCTGTTTAGTTCTTTAAGATTCCATTGTAAAATCTATGAAACTTTACTCTTATTTTGATCTCTTATGACATGTCTTTTGCATATACAGAGTACAGTTGAGTCCTGTTCATGAAATTATTTTGATAACAATTAGTCCCAATTAGCCCTATGCTGGTCACTATAAGGGGTAGATATATGTTGTAATTGAAAATTACAAGTTTTCACTGTATCAGGCTCCATTATCTGCTGGTCATGAAAAGGCTAGAAAGTAAAATTATGATAAATAAACATTTGTGGAAAGTATCAATGATATATATTAGGATTCCAGTGGATGTGGTGGAATTCCGACACCTTTGGGCAAGCAATAATTCACCACTAAACCTCTAATATGTTACATCATTGTAGCTTTCAACAAATATAATTCTATAGAATTTGCACTTGTTAATAATTTACTACTGACAGCTCATACAAATAAATCCAGATCTTATTGAGAAGAAATAAATGATACCAAATCAGTGTGATTATCTCATGGTCTGTTTGATTTCAGCGGTTGATCATTCGCCTGAGTGCATTTGTTTTCATGGCTTGATAGACAGGCATCAATACTATGGAGTGTACCTTGTATTTGAATTAAACATTGGCTACAGTGTTCCGGTGTTGTTTTACGCTGAGGCTGCATTGTTTCACGGTGTTTGCACATGTAGATCCATTGTGTAGCACTCCAGTGTGGACATTGATTTTAGATGTGATGTTGTGTAAGGTGACTGAACGACACACAATTATTGATGCTTTCTAAGGGATAGGTGGTAATTACTGCTAGCTGATCACACACCTTTACAGCCACACAGGTAAACTGAACCATATCACACTTCACCATGGAACATACTCTTCAGCTCCTTCCTTAGACTACTGACATATTGTATAGATGTAGACTTAATCATATTACTTGAATGAACACAATATTGATTTGAAAGTAAAGCAAGTTTTCTTTTAAGAATGTTGCCCGCCCCCCCCCCCAACCCTCTCCCCCAATGTTGATACAGGAGGATACTTGACCCCTAACCCACTACCCCAATGTTGATACAGGATCATACTTGCCCCCCTAACCCTGTCCCCCAATGTTGATACAGGATCATACTTGCCCCCCTAACCTTCTCCCTCAATGTTGATACAGGATCATACTTGCCCCCCTAAATCTCTACCCCAATGTTGATACAGGATCATACTTGCCCCCTAACCCTCTCCCCCAATCTTGATACAGGAGGATACTTGCTGTATACTGTTCCAAAACAATATTTCATGCCACCTACCCTAAATGGCATAGATATAGAGATTATATCAAAAGCATTATTCCTGAGTGCTTCATCTCTCTTGTCTTCATCCCTAGCTCGGTAAGATCACTATCCAGCTGGGATAAGACCCGAGTCTGTTGGAATAGTTTTTGCCAGATCTTCATGTTAGGTTAACAGTGTTTTTATTGCACATAAACACTTGACCATGAATTCAGTACGAGGACTCAATTCATGAGGTTATTAGTCATCAATGTTATTCAAGTTGTATTTAAAGTTGTAAACAAAGATTTGATTGAACAGTCAACATCCATAACATCAAATGCCACATGTGAAGATATTACTGAAATAATATTATGACATTAAAATGTGAATATGTTGCTGCTGTATCTGACTTTGAAATGTAAATATGATGTTGCCTTTGTCTGCTATTGAAATGTGAATATGTTGCTGTTGTGTCTGCTATTGAAATGTGAATATGTTGCTGCTGTATCGGACTTTGAAATGTAAATATGTTGCTGCTGTGACTGTTATTGAAATGTGAATATGTTTCTGTTGTAACTGTTATTGAAATGTGAATATGTTGCTGATGTGTCTGCTATTGAAATGTGAATATGTTTCTGCTGTGTCTTGCATTGAAATGTGAATATGTTGCTGTTGTGTCTGCTATTGAAATGTGAATATGTTGCTGATGTGTCTTGCATTGAAATGTGAATATGTTGCTGATGTGACTTGCATTGAAATGTGAATATGTTGCAGTTGTAACTGTTATTGAAATGTGAATATGTTGCTGTTGTAACTGTTATTGAAATGTGAATATGTTGCTGATGTGTCTGCTATTGAAATGTGAATATGTTTCTGCTGTGTCTTGCATTGAAATGTGAATATGTTGCTGCTGTGACTGCTATTAAAATGTGAATATGTTGCTGATGTGTCTTGCATTGAAATGTGAATATGTTGCTGTTGTGACTGTTATTGAAATGTGAATATGTTGCTAACTTGTATGATATAGAAATGTAAAGATGTCACTGATACGATCGAAATGACTTAGAATTGTGAAGGGAATATTGTTATGCAGCTGTGAGCTAAATACTGGCGAGCAATACACCAGATTACTGTCACTTATTGTGTATTTTATAACACATGTGACACTGTTATCCAGAGTATGTCATGTGACCCTTGACCTGGCTTCTGAGGCAGGCAAGGAAATGTAGGGTGCTGACAGCTCACAGTGGCTGGACAAAGATGGATTGATGCAGAGGCGAGGCAATTTGAATCATTGCTTTGAAATTTTAAAATCAATACATTGATCCTGAGAGAGGCAGGATGAATGTCGAGGTTTTCATTTGCACAATAATATAGCAGGTCTTGCCTGTTTCTGACAGTGTACAAAATAGAAATTACAACGATGAAAATTGATGTACAAAAATGTACCACACTGTAGAGATGTTAACTAGTGCTCAAACTATTATGTCTCCAACTTGTAAAATTAGTTGGAAACTATTTTGAAATCAAAAGTGGTGTTTGTGTTGTTTAATCAGCAGACTGGCCCTGCTTCCTTAGCCAAGTACAGAGATACAGTCCCAAAAGTGTTTAACTTTGAATAATGTCTTTGGATCATTTTACTTTTGTACAAATCACAATGCACAAAATATCACACAATCAGTGTATATTGCCCAAATGGAAAATACTTTCATGAAGGTAAATATTTGTTTTATTTGCATTTGCGCAACCACAATGTATGTAATACAAAATAATGTTTAGATAATTAAATTCATGTAATCTATGTTGAGTTTGATGCTAAAAGAAGTCTACCTCTCATGTACCTTTACTGTATTAGACAGTGAAATGCATATTCAAACTTTCAGTATTTTATTAACCTCTGTCGCATATGTATCCCCCAGGTTGTACTTCTGCATTTATGGAAAACATTTGTAAGCAACCGAGTTTCATAGCATCATAAATATAATGTTAAAAAATATGCTTTTTAATCATCATTTTAATATTCAAAGTAACAAAGAAATAACTGTTTTATCTGATTGGTTCCTTTTTTTTCTTTTCTTTTTTTTTTATCAATTAAAATGGTTATAACAAATGGTGTAACAGCAATTTTTGGAACACTGTAATGTTTTCTATCAGAAACCAATTAATACAATGCATATAATGCCAAATTGCAAAGTGTTGTATACGCTTATGTTAATCATGTCTGCTACTTCAAAATTAATATAGTAAATGTAGAAATAGATACTAAATGCCTAGAGAGTATTTGTCCTTGACCTTTGATCGCAGATTAGGACGACCAGGTGTGGACATCCATTGTAGTCAGGATAGAGAAATAGCCATTACACAGATACTCTTCCTCGTCAATGAGGTAAGTCTCCAGGTGTTACCGTACACAACAAGGTCGGGTGGTGCACCCTGACAGCCGGGGTTTGACTCCCCAATCAAATGTGAAAACGTATTAGGTCATCTGCCTCGCTATGTCAGATTTCTCGAAGTACTGCCTTTTTCTTCCATCTGGGCCAACAAAAGGATGAATATTAATTGAAATAACTTGTTTCATAATCGTTGTAAAATATATAAAGCTTATATATATCATATCATACACCTAAGTTCACATGTAAATCAGAATGTGATACAGATATGACATATTTACCACAAGGTCATACTGGTGGACGTTCACATACAAACTACATACAAACTATATCATTCAGGTATGAGATAAATACCAAAATATAGGGTGTGATATCAAAGCAGAATATAGACTTAACACAACACTTAAAAATTGTTCAACATGTACTCTGTTTTCTGAAAATAGAAGTAATGAAAAAGAACTAAATGTAAATTGCATGTCAACTTTCTTTTGTGACAATAAAATTTTCAAACATTTCTTCGATATTTTTACATTATTTTGATAAATCTTTATATATTTGATAGCTTAAATGAAGAGGTTGATGACAATATAAGTATGCACATTTAACTAAAAAACTAAAGAATCAATAATGACCTGACTTGATTGTTCTTGTTATGCCTATGTTTACAGGGTGCACTTGTTACAGTATGCAATGATGATAGTCTGCACTTGTGGAATTTTCGCCAGAAGCGGCCAGAAGTTGTGCACACCCTTAAGTTTCAAAGAGAAAGGTGAGTAGACCACAACCACCCACCCCACCCCTTCCTTTTCATTGGGTCATCCAGAAATGGATTCATATAGTCTACCTAGTTGTATAAACTTACACAGTGTATAATTTAGACACACACCATGAAGATTTTACCTTCACACAGAGCCTAAGCCCAGCTTACCAAAGACTTGTGGTCATACAGCTCCTGGTAGACTCTATGACACAATCAGGTCTTGATCAGGGGTTATAGTATGAAGCCACATATTTCAAATGTAGGACATTAGTGTATCTTGTTGAAAGCTTGAGTTCGGCTCCTGGTATGAAGTGTTAGGCTTTAAACTGTGCGGAACGGATATAGATCCAGGGAGAAGATAGTTTATGGGAGAAGTGTTGGTCAGGATAGCTTATATGGTGTGTTAATATACCACGTAGTGAAATCATTAGTCCTAAGATGAAAAGCAAAGTGTATCGATATTTTCCATTTCTTTTTATACCTGATTACCCACAATCAAGTGAATTAGCCCAAGGGTTTATTGTACTCCCGTCTACACCACACTTACATGTATCCTACTCAACCTACATAATCTATTATCGATCTTATAATATTCATATTTGAATTAGAAAGTCAAGATGATGTAAAATGGGAAAGGTCAGAGGTTAAACAGGACAGCTCCGATTGTCTTCCTGGTGCATCACAGGTTTCTTTTTTCTTTTTTTAAGAATATTGATGATTTTTGACGACACACGTATTGATGTTAAAAGAGCTAAGAAATCTACTGTATAAGTACGAATCAATGAGCTTTAGACTGGTTGATCGAGTCACAGGATAAAATATATATGTACAGAAATAAATATCCAGAAATCCTTGTGTTGTACCTAGGTACCCATTCCTTGTGGTCAGTGGAATCTATGTTGTTTCATTGGTTTAATCATGACAGGAAAGAGGCATGAAACTGCAAGGATATATTATATAGACTATGACAGACTTCCAGCAGAAAATATAAGTCCAAATTCTCTGTCAGTAGGGTCATAAGTAGTCCAAAAACAACATCCAAGTTTTCACACCTGCAAAAGATTTATTCACCTTTAAATACCTGGGGATTTCTGATCTCACCCAATCATTTCTAAATTACTGTGAATTTCAGTCAGTATATGAAATGTATAATGTAGTAAACACCCATATCTTTGTACATAGATAATATAGATTTCATAGATGTATAAATAGGATACTCACACAGGAATGAATGACTATTTATACTGCGTTGTTGGTCGTGTGTGCAGTGATGCGTGTCATCTGAAATGTCAGTGTTTGCAGCAGCTTGAGCAGTGTGCTGTAAGTGATTAATCAGAGCCCCTTACACCCACCAGTCTATCCAGACCTCTCCCACTTACAGGGTTACTGATGACCATACTGCACGCAATCCATGCTCCAGAAGCCAACCATTAGATACATAGTATAGTCGATGAGACAGATGCTCCAAAACTCAAGTATCAGTTAGACAAGAGAGTTACAGGCTCTAAGTATAAGCTAGACAAGAGAGTTACAGGCTCCAAGTATCAGCTAGACAAGAGAGTTACAGGCTCTAAGTATAAGCTAGACAAGAGAGTTACAGGCTCCAAGTATCAGCTAGACAAGAGAGTTACAGGCTCTAAGTATAAGCTAGACAAGAGAGTTACAGGCTC